ATTTCACGTGGAGGCAAACTAAAACACATAAATTGAAATTGAGGAAATATTTTTTATCACCTAGCTTAAATGAAGGCACTTAAAACAATGATAAAAGATCCTCTTGATCATATTAAGATCTCTATTTCAAATGACATATAATACACAATTCCCTCCCTGAGTCCCTTTCCCAGGCCCCATGGTTTAAAGCTTGTAAGATAAACACATGATTTTTCCTCATTTGGAATGTTAAATTTGTATGTAGAACATCTGAGCGATTGAATTTTTGGGCAACATCATCAGATGGACCCAAAGAATGGGTTCTATGTGGATCTGCTCTATCCTCAGAAGAGAAGGTTTGTCTCCTTCCTATAGTAAGAATGTATTCTGCTAGTTTCTTTCATATGCATGCAAAATACAATGCATATATTTTATGACTGCTTGATCAGCTTTTAAATATCATGGATCAAATCACTAGCACAATGTCATTTTATAGGCCATTGTCGCCACTAGCAAGTTACCAAGGAAAACCAACTTAGCTAACATTTTTTTAGGCCAAAGTTGCCACTATCAAGTTACCAAGCAAAACCAACTTATCTATTTAGCTCTTTGTCATTTGTACATATAAGTAGACAACTTAGTTTGTTTATTCCCCAAATGGTTTGACTTGATTTCTGTCAGTGTTAGTTTATTCTTCTGTTGTCTGTTAACTTTCACACCTCCACAGCTGAATTAGCTATTTATTTTGTTTATTTGTTGCAATTTGGTGGAGTAAAATAATCTAATAAGTGTAGCTCTTTTAGTTTGTGAATTTGTTGGTTGAATTGTTGTACTTCCATCAATATTGGTTAATTGTAATTGGTTCTTCTGCTCTGATTTCAGTATATGATGGTCAAGTTTGCTAACATGTGCGGCGCAACTGTGTGCAAGACTTGGAACCCAAATGTCACCCATGTCATTGCAGCAACAGATGAAAAGGGTGCATGCACCAGAACACTGAAAGTTCTCATGGCAATTTTGGGTGGAAAATGGATCCTAACAATTGATTGTAAGCTCTTTCTTCTTTTTGTCTTACATGGTTAAGTTAGCTTATTTGTTCATCTGGTTCTCCATTGCGGGAGCAGCATGTAAAATTGCCTAAGAAGTAGGCTATGCAATTAAGTAAACTAAGCTAGTATATTTTTATAGGCATGTAAATAAATAAATTTAGCGCGACAACATAAGAACAAGAGTATCTGGTATTTAGAGGATTAGAAAGGAGGAGAGAGGAATGCTATGGTATCAAGATTGGATCTAGGAGCTTGTGTACATGTTCGTCTGAATCTAGTAGCTTTTGCTCAAACAATGTATTTGTGTTTGAGAAATTCATTAAATATGTAGAGATATTAAATTTAGAACCCAATTATTGGTACTGGAAATTGTTGTTTGAAATCCAAAACTTTGCCTCTGTATGGTATATGTTGGAGTTATGCATATTCCAAAGACTCATAAGAGAATTAAGATATCAAAATGGTGCTCTATACTAGAGCATGGCACTACATTGGAACTATGCTGCTTGGTTTGGAGCAATACTATAACTTGCAAAAGTGAAGTGGTTATTTTTCTCTAGATTCTGTGTCCTATCATGGTTAGCAAGATAAATAATAAGCTTGAGTAGTTCTATAATTTTCTTACTGTGAAGAACATGCCTTTACAAATGAATCATCCCCCATGAATAGAGACAAGACTAGGACAATATACTTCAAACAATTGACCAATTATATCAATTTAAATGATGCTAATACAACTTTGCTTATTTCCAGGGATAAAAGCCTGCATTGGAGCAAATTGTCCTGTGATTGAAGAACCTTATGAAGTTAGCCTGGACAACCATGGCTGTTTTGGTGGCCCTAAAGCTGGTAGACTTAGGGCTTCATCCAATGTAAGTATTCATTTTTCTCCTATAGGGATAAAATTGATGCAAGCATTTATATTTCTGCTGTAATAAGAAATGCATTTACAATGCTGCCTGTAATATGCTTTATGACAAAAAAGGTCCCTTATGTTTGAAGGTAGGTTTATAGTAGTCCCTTAAGTATGCATTAAGCCTGTTTTGATCCTTTAATTTTGCTAAAGCTTAACATTTTTGGTCTATATCAAATATTTAATGAGCTTTGATTGTTAGATCTGATGGAAATTGTGAAAAAAGAAAAATAGTGGGAACTCACATTTATAGTTATAATTTTTGTAGTTTTTGCATCTTTTTTTAATATCTATTTCTAGAGTATAGTGCATTGTTTAGGTGTAATTTTTGCTATTTTTGAAAATTTTGTGGTGGCTAGTGCAATTTGTGTTGTACTTTTTAGGATTTGACGGAGTGTTCTTGATGTTTAAGGTCAAATTTTTCTCTCAACAGTTTCCATCAAATCTAACGAACATAAATTGTTATATATTTGAGGACCAAAAATGTTCAGTGCATACTTAAGGGACTATTTTGAAGGTATCCTCAAACATATGGAATCATTTTTGTCATTTCCTTGAAACATCTCTGCTGATTTTCTTAGTAACGAGGCGCATGAAGTTCTAAATAAAATTATGGCACAGTAAAAAGGTTCCTTGTTTCTTATACAGGCACCTAAACTTTTTGATGGTTTCAAGTTTTATTTGAGTGGAGATTATGTAGCAGCTTACAAAAAGGACCTATTAGATCTAGTTGAAAAGGGTGGAGGTTCCATCATTCACACTAAGGAACAGCTGATTTACCAGATTGATTCTATGAATGCAACTAACACATCTTGTCTAGTTGTTTATAACCTTGATCCACCACGCGGTTGCATGTCTGGCGAAGATAGCAATGTTTTGCTGCACAGACAAGCTGAGGCTGAAGATTTGGCCAAGCAAATTGGCTGTCAGGTCATTCAGCATACATGGATCCTGCAGTCTATTGCTGCATGTAAATTAGAACCTATCTGCTGATATAACATTGCAAGTTTAACAGCGAGCACTAGTTTATGTTTAGGAAGATCCGGTGAAGTAACTTTACTCATTTGACAGATGAGAGTAAACTGTCTTGTTTGTATGAGGCTGTTGTACATTTTCTACAACTGAGCAATATAGTGAATCTTAAAGCCAAAGGTTTTTCTTCCAAGAGATGGAATGGAGTACTGGCAGTTCTCTACAGAGATGAAACTTTGGAACTCTGGAAGTTACATAACCTTAGTGACAAAAGTGAGAAAGGTTTTTGACTAGGAGAGTAAAAGTTTCCTTAGGCAACCAATGCTTTTTCTTCTTTGGTTGTGGACTTGGTCAGCTGAGCAGATTCCAATGTCTTCTGCAACTCTTTATTTGTAGCTGAAGTGTTATAAGCAGATTCTTTTTAATAATAGAAAGATTTTTTTGTTTATAATTGTGGCGTTCGGTCTAGTTTGTGAGTATCTCGGCTAATTCTAGGGGACTTGTTACTTCCCACTAGCTTATATTGGGTATGTTGTTGTTACTTCCCACTAGGGCTGTGCATGGATCGGATTGGATTTAGCACAATTCGGATCAGATTTCGGATTCTAGAAAATGCAATCCGAATTAATATCGGATTGGATTTTAAAGTTTGGATCGGATTGGATTTTTGGATTTTGGATTGGATTATTATGCCTTAAAGTTGCAAACTCATATGTATATTTTCTTTGTAAAAGAGGCAATACAATAAGAAAAATTCATGTTTCTGTAATTATGAGATTATTATGGTGCCAATATAGCTAAATCCATCAATTGTAAAGGTAATAACTTAGGAAAATGTAAAAGGAAGTACTAACTATCCAAAATTAAAGTTTAGTATTTATACATGCCTTAATAATTTCGGATTTCGGATCGGATCAGATTAAAATTGTACCAATCCGAATTCGATCCGAAATTTGAATAAACACAATTAGAAATTGAACGGATCGGTTCGGATTTCGGATATCCTATCCAAATGAATAGCCCTACTTCACACTAGCATAGATACTGGGACTGTCCAAGTTATAAATAGAATGTTGCTACAGGAACAAAAGATTTTTTTAAAAATAAGCTCAAGACAACATAAAAGGCATAATAATAGTAGTATAAATGAGATATTTACATGATCCATGTACAATTCTTGTGTCCATTTTGCTTGGATATGTCAACCACTCTTGATAAATGCCAAGTAAATTGCCAACTTCCATGCTTTTGTTGTAGGATTGTATGCAGTCTGGCAAGTCCCAAGGCTTTTCATGTCATCTGGTGTGATCACAGAAAGGCTCCAAGATTTAATTTCAAGAAGTCACCAGTTTTAATCTTGTCGTAGACAAAAGCCTAGTATCTAAGTGAGAACGATAGATGTGCAAACTCATTAGAGTTTCAAATGATATGCCACTCCCCGTGGGAATTTCTTGGTAATAATAAAAAAAATGAAACCATCTCCAGATAGGTGTAAAGAGAAAATCTTATTGGTACAGTGTACATTCACTAAACTATGTCAATTTACCATGAGTAAGTGGTAATTTGAAATAGCAAATAAAGCTTATGTAAATGACACGTTAGACAGGTTAGAGATTGCTTATGCATCATGCCAATCCCTCGCGCATACAATGTTTTTTCTTTTAATCTTTTGAAGAAAAAAAAATGGACTCTTATTGTTAATAGAAGGAAGTAGATTTTATATTTTTTAAAATTGTTATAATTGGTTCTCGTACTTCGAATCACATCATTCCAGTAAGATTTTTATAGTGTATAATCAGGCTATGCGATATATATATATATATATATATATATATATATATATATATATATATATATATGATCAAACACTTACCATCGTACCAAAAGTTATAGTAACTGATAACAAAGGAGCAACTTTATTTTTTAACAAAGCCTACCAAGCAGGCACCTTATTCAACCATGATCTCGACCCCGGCTATCCCTTCACCTTGGCCTCGCCATAGGCAGGATGTTAGCGTTACCCAACAATATATACATTAGATGCAGGTGCATAATGTTAGTTGCTCAAATGCTAATTAACAGCGGATTAGACACCAGGAGTGCTACAAATAAGCTTTAAAGACCATCTATAGTTCCTCAATTCTTCCAAGAATAACTCTTAAAAACACCATATATTAACAATACAAAAGGAAAATCCTGATATTTCTTTATCATGTATCTTGAAGCAGAGGACAAACCAGGCCCGTCTGAATAATCTATGGGAGGGATACCAAAAATGTTAAAGCTGGTTTACTCAAGAATTTGATGTTCCAAACATCAATAGGAACTTAATATCCTACCAAAAGGTTTGCGAACTGCATAAGATTATTCATCCAGTTTAGCACGCTTCGTTGGTGGTGTATTTGATGAGCTTGAAATATTTGTCTCAGGATTTTCAAGTTCTTCTCGTTCTTGCTCTTTCTGCTTCTCCCCCACCTTTTGAGTTACATAATCTCCTGCTTCTTGAGGATTGCCTGGTGGCACTCCTGGATCATTTTTGTTTGAGGAGCGTTGAACTGCATCTGTCGACTGGGCAGAGGCATCAGCTATGGATGATGAGGCCTTTACCAACTCAATACTCGGAATCGACTTGCATTGCTTTTCAAACATCTCCTGGAGATATCGCCCTTGTTCTTCTATACGCAGCTGCAGATTTCTTTGAATCTGTAAAAGTTTGTGACAATAAAAGCACGCATTACATATGATACCACGCAAGCTTTCCTTGGATTCAATGAGCGGGCAATTCATTCATCTATCAGCATCATAGAGGTATAGAGTTCATGCCCATGAAAGAGTTGATTCCGCACCAAAATTAAACAGTGAGAAACTCAAGATCAATTATTTCAACAATAATCAAAGAAGAGAAGCACAAATTAACTACTTCTGTTGTTATTGTTTATTGTTTATTTTTTATTTTTTTTAAAGGAACAACTTCTCCATCCGAAACAACCTCTCTACCTTCGCAAGGTAGGGGTAATGCTGCATTCACACTACCATCCTCAAACCCCAATTGTGGAATTACACTGGATTTTTTGTTGTTGTTAAGGAACTACTTCTGTTGTGGTTATATAGGAATTATATTGAGATATTCCAAAAGCTTCACCTTTAACTTCAGAAAGGGCAAAAGAAAAGCCATGCCATGCCACTATTTTATACCACAAAGACAGCAGTTAAAAGCAATCTCCAACAAAATAATGCATGACAAGGAATCTTCTATATGCTCATATTAAGGACGCAATTTCTTGCGGATGATGCAAACAGTGATGACCTATCAAACTGAAACTAGAAACACCAGAGGTGGATTCAGGAACTCAAGAAGATGGACGCACTATTATGAAGAGGTAGATCTAGAATTTATATTTGACGAATTTGATGTTAGGCTGAGGAGGATGAGGGAAAGTGTGTCGATTTTTGAGAACCAGTTCGGATTCATGCCAGGACGGTCGACCACAGAAGCCATTCATCTTGTGAGGAGACTGGTGAAGCAGTATAGGGAGAGGAAGAAAGAAGACTTGCATATGGTGTTCATTGACCTATAGAAAGCCTACGACAAAGTCTCGAGGGAGGTTCTATGAAGATGTTTGGAGGTTAGTGGCATCCCACTAACGTACACTAGGATGATTAGAGATATGTACGATGGTGCTAAAACTCGGGTGAGGACTGTGGGAGGAGACTCAGAACACTTCCCTGTGCTGATGGGGTTACATCATGGATCAACTCTTAGCCCATTTTTTATTTGCTCTGGCGATGGATGTGTTGACGCGACACATCCAAGGGGAGGTGCCATGGTGTATGTTATTTGCAGATGATATAATGCTGATTGACGAGACACGCTGCGGGGTAAATGCTAGGTTGGAGGTTTGGAGACAGACCCTGGAGTCTAAAGGTTTCAAGTTGAGTAGGACGAAAACACAATACTTGGAGTGCAAGTTCAGTGAGGCTCGCATCTGGTGTTTTGTGTGATAAGAATGTGCCACCAAGACTTAAGGGCAAGTTCTACATAGTGGTAGTTAGACCGACTATGTTGTATGGTGCTGAGTGTTGGCCAGTCACGAAATCCCATGTCCAGAAGAAGAGAGTAGCAGAAATGAGGATGTTGAGATGGATGTGTGGGCATACCAGTAAAGACAAAATTAGGAATGAAGTTATTAGGGACAAGGTGGGAGTGGCCCCTGTGGAAGACAAATTGCGGGAATCGAGGCCGAGATGGTTCGGGCACGTGATGAGGAGAGACACTGATGCCCCGGTTAGGAGGTGTGAGAGGTTGACCATGACCGGTTTGCGAAAGGCTAGAGGTAGGCCAAAGAAGTATTGGGGAGAGGTAATTAGGCAGGACATGACATTGCTTCAGCTTACCGAGGGCATGACCCTCGATAGGAAGGTGTGGAGGTCGAGAATTAGGATGTTAGGTTGATAGATAGTCGAGAGTTTCTCCTAATCATACCAGTATTATTAGTATTATTAGTATTATTCTTACGTTTTCGTGTTCCTAGATCTTTGTTATTCCATATTGTGTCATTCTTACCAGTATTGCTAGTAGTATTCTTGTATTTCTTATTTTTAGATCTTTGTTATTACACATAGTTTATGTGTCTTTGTTTTTTTTCTTGTGTTGTTATTGTTGGTGCTTCCTGTTTAGTATTTCTGAAGCCGAGGGTCTATCGGAAATAGCCTCTCTACCCTCCCTAGACCCCACCTGTGGGATTACACTGGGTTTGTTGTTGTTGTTGGATTTGATGTTAGGCTCTTATCATGAACCCATTACACTTTTAAAATTATAGGTTCAAAATTATATTTTTTTGCAATTTTGGTGAGTTTCACATATATATTTATACTCCATGTCGAAAACAAAGCCGATCGGAGTGGGATTTGAACCACTGATTTCACTTGTAGAGGTGCACTATTCATTGCACCATAGGACACTTTGAGCTTGGGTGTACACAAGTATATTCAAGTAGTTTTGAAGAAATATAGTATTGCAATATATGGTCTGGGAGAGGAGCATGGGTTCGCGTGAACCCATACCCCATCACCTAGATACACCCCTGCACAAGATTATGTTGCTAAGGCAAGAATTTATACCTCAAGTTGTTCATGCAGCTGTTTCTGAACTTCCATCTGTAACCGCAATGCTTCAGTGATCTCAATACCCCTGCATCGAAACCCAAACACATCATATAACAAAGACAACACGAGAGTACAGGTTACAGTTAATTATGAGGGGAAAACTTCATAGCGATTCAAATAGAGCCCTTTAAGCCACCATGCCATTCTACTTAAAGGACCTGTTCTACATTACATGTGCACATAGAACTATTCCAGCTGTCTTACCTCCATCTATCAGAGCCCTAACTTAACTTTTCCAATATTTTCCTTTCCCTTATCTTCCAATTTTGTTGACAACCTGAATAAAATCCTACTTTTGACAAGTAGATCCTTCAATAAATTTTCATATTCCCCGTCATTTTCACCCTTTGTCTTTTTGGAATTACCTTATACATATACCAGACCAAATGGAATATCTATTTCTCCGAATAGGTTCATGCAAGGTTGTACCAATCTAGATAATAAAATTATTGAAGCCACTATATCTCATTATGTGGTTTATGTTTTCCGTCTACAGCCATATGGCAAAAGCACCAGACTGTCAACAAAGTCCATTATAAGCAACATCAATTAAGCACATTATGCCCCAAATACATGCCATTGGAAGTAGGCAATACACTCATTAGCTTATGCACAAGAGAATATCAAATCTTATCCAAATTTCAAATGATGCATATCATTAAGCCAGAAAACAGAGGCAATGGACCCAACTACTAACGTTTTTAAGTCCAGAGCTGACAAATCGCCAACAGATGACTCTTTCTTCTCAGAGGACCCTGTTATGAGAGGGGAAAAAATAAAGGGGCTTCAGCAAACAATAATTTGAGTGAAAGGAAATATAAAAGCCTGACAAATATAGAAGATTATCAGCATTCTCCAAGCACCAATAATCTCTGATCACAAAAAGAGAACGATAATATGTTAGGGATAAATCCATTTGGCTTTTTAGAAGAAGACAAACAAAAACTTAGGAGATTTCGGCAGTGGCTTTTGAAGTTTACTTGTTCCAGTTAAATAGTGCAAACTTTGACTAGTTTCTTATTATCTTGGCAACCGTATATGAAGTTAATAATACCAGTTAAAGTGCCAAATTTTTACCAGTTTGCTATGTTACACCTTTCACGCATATATTATTTCACGTCCTTGACACGTCTCAAAAAATTAATTTCCTAAGATATGGGCAAATGCCATGTCATATTAAAGTTACAGAGCAAAATTCCATGTTTCTTTTTCCTTTATTTGTTAAGAAACATTTAGTCAAAGCTATAAGCATATTATACAAAGAAAGCACTAAATGTAAATCCCGAAATCTCAGCTCCATTTTCAGGAGGGGGGACGGAGGGACGGAAGGGGAGAAGGTCAATATTGTCAGTGTGGCTTTCTTGTTCAAGTAACATAAACCTCATAGGTTTCATACGGTGAGATTCTGTGAACCATAGCTTGCATATTTAGCATGAACTAAAAACAAAACAAAAAAAGCTCCTATTTACACAAAGGCAATCACCATACAAATGATAAATTGTTGATCTTTACTATCTAAAATCTTATCTTCATCATCTGCTACTATGCAAAAAAAAAAAAAAGAAGATTGAGAAGTGTCAGTGTATTCAACATATACTTTTATTAACCTCTTGTGATTCAATGATGATATATGAAATAGCACCAAAAAAACCAATAACTCCACATAGCTTAAAAATAATGCACACATATACACACACAAAAAACACAACTTTTTTCACTTATAAGAAAAGAAGAAACTAAATTTTTTAATTACAAAAACAAAACAAAAAATTAGACATCTACTGGCTCGAGTAACAAATACGCAGGCCCTAAAACTCAATTTTTTTTAACGACTTTTGAGAACAGAGACAAAATTAAGACACGTGTAAAAAACACACAAGGGAAAAAGAAATAGCTGCATACCCTCCGATGCTTCTGGTTTATATCTAGCTGTTCGATATTTCTGCATTATAAGAAATTGTATCAAAACTCCATCAGTTAAATAATACAGCATGTCTATATGTGAAAGTATCTAACTTTGAAAATACAAAGAGCAGAACAAACCTGCAAATGGCTTTTTACGTGATAAATGGTCAAACCTTCAACTTTCATTAACTTCAGCACACCCTTGGGAGTAGCTCCTGTATTTCAAAGTAGAATTATCGAGCTAGACAACACTCCAATACTTATTTAATATGCAAAGTAAGGAGAGCGAAGTACTTTCACTTCCACCAAGTTTGTTGACTGCTTCCACAAACGCTTCATGAAGTTCTGGTGTCCAACGCATTCGTTGCTTCGATGAAGCACCACTTGCAGTGGATGATGCAGGAACAATGGCAGATGTTTCTACAGATGCAGTAGGAATTTGCTGCAATGGTTGGCCTTGGTGTACTGGGAAATTTGATGGTTGTTTTTGTTCCTGATATTGCATCTTTAATCACACAACAAAGAAATGTAAGAGCCGTCTCCTTTTTAATTATTGAAAGGAGAGTAAGAAAACAAAAAGCAAATTAAGATGAATAAAAATCCAGCAGTTGGTATAGAACAAAACTGACCTTTGGCTCGGCATCAGCAATGCTAGTATCTAACATGATGTCGTTCCAGTTAGAAGTCAGAGCATCATCATCATTCATTACAAGGTCAGCCCATTCCGGCCAATCACTTTGTTTACTAAGATCCTCAGATGGGATGCGACAATCACCTGTATTGCTACAATCTAGTTGAGTGTTGTGGACGGGGGTATTTAACGAGTAATCAAGGTAATCAGGCAATGGCGCTGTACACCAGGGTTCATTATTTTCATTAAGATACTGGCTTGATGCTGCAGATTGAAGAACTCCGGAATTAGCTAATGGGATTAATGCCTCATTATTTGTTGACTGAGAAATGAAAGGTATAGGTGCAGAATGCTCTTCATGAGGAAGAACAGATGAAAAGTGAAGATTGGTAGAGAATCCTGATGATGAGGACAACAAATGACCGACCGCCCCACTGTTTGAAGGCAATGAAGAAAGGACAGCCCTCGGCAACATAGGATATTTGTCCTCCAAACTTGCTGGAAGCACGGGTAATGAAGAATGAGCTCCTGATGCTCCAAAATTACTGAGTTGATGCGCGCCCGCCCTCTGGACGGATAAAGTAGGACGCGCCTCCATATCCTATTTTAGGACTACCAAACACAACTAAATTCACCTTAAATAGAATCTTCTAGCATTTTTGTCACTTACGGCAAAGGCTGATTCCTGCATCACAAGAAAGGAAATAAAAAACTTAGAGAGCTAATAAGCACAAAACGGAACAGCACACTAACAAGTTTCCTCAAAGGTTGTTGAAAACCCGTGGTGCTTAGAACTAGACTAAATCATTAAGGAAAAAGTTATTGTTACTATCCTAAAGAATAAAAATTGGAAAACTCAGACAGATGATAGAGCTGAATTAAAATACATGAAAACAAATTACTAAAACTGAAAAAGAGCGTACAAGAGAATATCAGTATTCCCCAACTAGAATCAAATTTGACGGTGAAAAGTAGTTCATCAGTAGGAAACATTAACCAAATGGTTGCATGATAGCTACAGGCTAAAAACAAAGAGATAGTTACAGTTTTCAAACATATGATAGCTAACTTCACTAACAAGGCGAAATCTAAACAACTGGCACCAACATGTAGAATATCTTATATAGCTATAGTCATTCTGTAAGCATGATACTCTTTACGAAACTTGATGCTAGTTTGAATTTTAGGTTTCCGACCACCCAAGAGAACTCATTACTGTCATAACTTTAAAGACATAGCATGTCTCGAAAAATAACCGCTGATAAAAAGATCTGCTATAGAAATGCCAATGAAAAAGTACTAAGAAATATGAATTGTATGTAGACACTAATCCTTCCATACTATAGGACGGATTTAAACCATGCAGGAACATATCTATTCGTAGGGAGGTTAGAACATAACAAGAAGATCGATTCAACTCGAAGCATACATAGAGCTTGTGGTATGGTAGAAAAAAGGACTTATGAAAACATTACAAGACTAATGCAGCATTTTGTTTCTCTTGAGGGGGGAATTCGAAAGCGGGCATCTAGTCCTCTTACAACTTGATAAGAGATTGACTAAGTCACACACTACAAGGAAAAAGCCCCAGTTCATTCATAAAACATGTCTATTGAGGACGGGCCACCTGTAGCAGAATTTCCTACAAGAGGATTCAAGAAAATGTCTTATCGGAAACATCTCTACCTTCACAAGGTAGGTAAGGTTGCGTACACACTACCCTCCCCAGACCCCACTCGTGGGATTACACTGGATCTGTTTTACTCTCTACCTTCACAAATCACAGGTAAGGTTGCGTACACACTACCCTCCCTAGACCCCACTTGTGGGATTACACTGGTCTGTTGTTGTTGTGGTGGTTGGATAAAAAAAATTGGATTCAAAAAATTACTAAAATGTCACACCGAAGGTTCACACCTATGACCTAAAGCAATTGTTGAACCCCCCTTTACCACTAAGATAGAATCTTACCTTATGTCAAAGTGAATTCAACAATTTATATATAATCAAGAAATTTGTTTTTCCTTATTTACACAGTATAATTTCTAAGCGAAGGGGATTTAATTGAACCCCCTCGCACAACCTAGCTCAGGCCCTGCTAGAGGCGAATCTAGAAAATTGGTAGCGGGTTTACGTTAACCTAGTAGCTTTTGTCCGGACCATGTATATGGATTAAGAAACCTACTAAATATTTATAAATATTGACGGTGAATCCAATTATTATTGAATATTTAACTTAAGGTTGTTACAAGAACCCATAAACTTCAAATCCTGAATCCGTTTCTAGCCCCTGCCAGCCACCTTTCTTCATCCGTTGCCTTTAGTTTAGTATGGAGTTGATATCAAAGTTAATTTAGCATAAGAATAACTACAATAACTTAAAGCTTCTGTCTTTACTTCAATGCCACAACCAAATAAACTGAATAAATTTCTTTACAGAATTTTAGACAATAAAGTCAAGATTAAAACTTTCAAATAATCAGAAACCGATTTAGCTGCTCCAATTAAATAAGACTAACAACTAAAAATTAAAAAACAAAACAAATAAAGCTACAGTAATGCATGGAAACATTATAAATCCTAGCTTGCATCAAATATATTTTGTTGAATAACAATTTAGATACCTAAGAAATTCGGATTATTTTAAAAAGAAAAAATTAATGAAGATAAAGAAAAGCGTATAGGAAATTAATACCTAAAAATTTGAGGGTTCCGGTCGCCGGCGAATTTGAAAGGAAAATGAACGGTGACGACTGCAAGTTTTTTGATGATTTTATTTTATTTGGGTTTTTCTTTCGCTGCTGATTTTGTACTTTTACTACAAAACTACAACAAAATACTGATTGTATAAATCTGTATGTAAATGGCATATAACATAATAAGAGTCCTATTCTAAGAAAAAAACCAAAAAAATAAAAAATTAAAATTGAAACCAAGTTAGGAAAAGAATAAAGACATCTTCTTTGACTTGGTTTGTTTCGGTATTAATTTTTTTCTTTTAAAAAAACCCAGAAAAGATATTTAATTAATTAACTTCTTAAATTATCTAATATATTTATTTTCCCTTCAATTTCCTTTTCTACAGCAAACTGAATTCATTTCAAAATATTTTACTTTTAAAAAAAATTAACAAGCTATGTATTACTACTTTTTTGTGTGTGTCAAATTTATCTTTACAACTTCAATCAATGAAGTATTACTTAAGTGTGACGTTTAAGAGATAAATAAAATAGTTTAAAAAATATTTTTAAGATTAAAATTATTAAATATTTTTTTGAGGAGTGTGTAAAAACTTTACAATATATTCTCCTCCGTCTCATATTATATGTTGTATTATTCTTTTTTACACATCCCTTAAGAAATAAGTATTAATTAGCAAAGGGGTTAGACAATTCTACCCTTATTTATGTCTTAAGATATAATCTCTTTTCATTAAATATTTATTCTATTTATGTGTTATCTCTATCTTCAAGAACAATTATTACTAAGGGTAAAAAAAATAAGGAAAAAAATAATTAATTTTATCTTGAATTTCTAAAATGACAAATAATTTGAGACAACTATTTTCGATAATCATAATTATTAATATGAGACGGATGGAGTAAATAATATGGACCTAAATAGGAGCAATTTTTTAAGTAAAATTATTGAATTTGATGAGTAATAAATTATTGGGTGAGTGTTGGGGGTAAATACAAAGCAAAGTGGGAATATGACAGTGAGGGATCCCACTTTATAAAAGGCATGCAAATTGGATAATGAGTGGACTGCTTTATGGGTGCACATGTGGTGAAAAAAAAAAACTATTCATTATCAAATTTAATTAATTTTATAAATTCTCCTCGTTCAGCACTAATCAACTTTTGTGGTGTACGAATAGTACAGTGAAATTTAATTATAAATTCTCCTCGTTAAGCACTAGTCAACTTTTGGAGTGTACTAATAGTACCGTGAAATTTAATTAATTTTGTAAGTTCTCCTCATTCAGCATTAGTAGTAGAAATGAGGATGTTGAGATGGATGTGTGGGCACACTAGGCTGGATAAGATTCGAAAAGAAGATATTCGGGAGAGGGTGGGCGTGGCTCCCGTGGATGACAAGATGCGAGAAGCGCGGCTTAGATGGTTCGGACACGTGCGGAGGAGAAGCCTAGATGCACCGGTTAGGAGGTGTGAGCGGTTGATTTTGGCAGGTAGGAGAAGAGGCAGAGGGCGACCTAAGAAGTATTGGGACGAGGTGATCAGGCAGGACATGGTGCGGCTTCAGATTTCCGAGGACATGGCTCTTGATAGGAACATGTGGAGGTCGAGCATTAGGGTGGTAGGCTAGGGGGTAGTCGAGAGTTCTTCCCTCTTTGTACCGGATAATCTGATAGAGTTTTGTTTAGGTTTGTTAGTGGTCTATGTTGTGTTCACATTGTTGTTTTGAGTAGTTTTGTGTTATTGTCCTTTCACTTAGTCGTGTTGTTATTTTCTTTGTTGTTGCATGCCTTTTCTCTTGTTTCTTTTTTGATATTATTGTCTCTCCTGTTGAGCCGAGAGTCACCCGGAAACAGTCTTCTACCCTTTTCGGGGTAAGGGTAAGGTCCGCGTACACTCTACTCTCCCTAGACCCCACTAATGAGATTTTACTACATATGTTGTTGTTGTCGTCGTCGTCGTCGTTGAGCATTAGTCAACTTTTGAGGTGTAAGAATAGTGCCTTAGGGGCCAAGATGACATTGACCGGCTAAGACTCCCGCGCGGTATTTGTTTACGAGATGCGCACTCATATGCCTTTCGAGGTTCATCTTTTTCTGTTGTTTAGTGAACGATATGAAGTGTGTGAAATTTTTATTATAATTATAATCCTAGTGTTCAGCTAAGTCTACACGCATTTCTACTGATTTTAGAAAATAATTACTATTATTTTTTACTAGTATAAATACTGGATAACTCTATCTATCAAAACGTGAATGAATGAAATTAAAGAAATCGGCTAATATTTTTTCTCTGCTAAATAGTTTATGAATTTTGTTCATCTTTAATTAGATTTTAATAATAAAATCTAATTATGGTAAATCTTCTAAGCATTTCTTAATGCTGATTCCAACTAAGTTAATACCAGAAATATAGGTAAAAATAGCACCGTCTAGCCAGTTTTCGGACTGGTTATTCAAAAATAGCCAGCGTTTACCAAGTCAATGAAAAATAGCCACTATTTTGCTGCAACAGAGAGCGCTCCAGCATAATATACTGGAGTTCGGTGCACCTGTGTATGAACTTCCAGCATATTATGCTGGAACTCCAACACATGGAAAGTTCCAGTATAATATACTGGAGATTCGAGCACTTGTGTATGAACTTCCAGCATATTATACTGGACCGGTATACTTTGCTGGAACTCCAGTATATTATCCTGGAGTTCTAGTGTACTTATGCTGGAACTCTATTTATATTATGCTGGAGTTCCAGCATACTTATCCTGGAACTCCAATATAATATGCTGGAGTTCAAGTATACTTATGCTGAAACTCCAGCATAATATACTGGCGTATTTTTCGGGTTTTGAACAGTGTTTTCGCTCAGATTTATCTTTATATGAAAAGTGGCTAAATTTCGATTACTTTTGAAATTGGGCTATTTTTTAACGACCACTTGTAAATCTGGCTATTTTTGAATTTCTCTCGAAATATAGAGTATTTGATTCAATAGGCCAAAATGGGATCTTTTTGTGCCCTTCGTTTATTTGTTATTCTTCTCTTGTTTTTAAATCTTTTACCCGGTAAATAAAGAAGTTTAAAAAAATCAAAATACCAAACCAAAAAAGTAACTAAAATCGACGTGTAACTTTTCTGGATTCATTTGGTATTATAATAACAATAACAATTCAATGGATTCTTACAAATAGAGTCTGGGCAGAATAGAATGTATGCATCCTTACCCTTATCCTGAAAGAGGCGAAAAACTATTTCCGATAGATTATTTGGTATTAAAATTAGAAATTATTAAGAATTGATTTGGTCTGATTTTAAACAAAAGCAAAAAGGTTAAACGGAAATTGAACCAAACAACTAATCATATATGACATAAGATATTATATAACTTTTCTATATTATTTAATTTTTCCATGATTTTCTTCTCTTTTTTCTCTTTCCTCCTTTGGACTTTGGCATAATTGCTTCCAACGTTTGATTGGTTCTTATGATTTAACTAGCAAGAGATCGAATAAATTGTCAAGGATTATGGCGGGATAAGTAGAATTTCGTCATATTTAATCAAAGATTTCTTGTTCAACCTTTGAGTAGAGAACTTTTTCGGTAAAAAAAATATTTTCTCTATTTATGAGTTTTACGCAACGTGAATCCCTAATTAATTAAAGTTTAATACGGATATCAGAAATCGAATATAAAAAATAAAAATAAAAAGTAAAAAGAAATTGTCATGTTTTCACTTATTCTATAGTTTGTCCGACGTTTATTTCTTTGTAGTTTCTGAAAATACATATTCTGTTTTGATAAAGCAAGAAACCAACCAACAAGGGTTGTGGTGGAGTGGTAAGTATTCCTCATCCTTAACCAGAGGTCTCGAGTTCGAGCCCCTGGGTATGGAGTCGCCTTTGTTAGGGAGCGCTTTACCCCCAAATGTGGGACTTCCCGACGCGAATTCGGATTTAGTCGGGCCCCAATGTGGGTACCGGACAGCGGATGTGAAACCAAAAAAAAAAGATAAAGCAAGAAGCCAAAATTTGATTTTACATAAAATGATTAGATCAATTTAATATTCGTACTAAATATGGAAAAATCATATTCTATATCCAGAAAATTGGCGCAATATTATTTATGAAGCTAAAAGTTGGTCTGATCACTGCTCGAAATATTTATCTGCATAAATTTTCTCTCTCTCCTTTCTATTTTTCCGTAAAATTTTTATCCGCATAAGTATTTATATTAAATTATACTAATTTATCATGCTTAAGTGAGAAATTAAAGTGAGATTGTATATTAATTAACTATAATGTAGTGATAATTATTTTCTGAAAACATATTTCATGTACTTGTTCAATTAGTAAGTATTTATGATGTTATTTTGTGATACACATGTACTTCTGATGTGTATGATGTTATGTACACATGTGTTCAATCACCAAATAACATCATACACATGTGTTCAATCGGAAAAAAGTTATTTTCTCTCATACACATGTACTTTAGACACATTTTGCTGACATGATTGAGAGCGTGAGTGGCACCGTATAGAATGCTCTTAGGCTTGATGCTATTATAGTTTGTTAAAAAGTAAATCACGATAAGTAGATTTTTCTAACTGAAAATAGAGTAATTACAAATAAAATTGTGTATGAACATACATTTATGTGTCGAAAAAACTCCAAGGACATAAGTAGAAGACAATGAACATGAGCATTATATAGATGCAACTCACGCTATCAATCACGTCAGCAAAATATGTTTGATTCGTACACTTTAGGCCAACTACAGATGTTCAATCGGAGTAAAGCCTACTTGAGGTATTTAAACGAAAAACGGTGGCAATTTTAGATGTATTCAACCTTATTTTAGTGAAGATTTTATGATAAACTGATGATGATGCACTAATTTTAGATGTATTCAGCCTTGTTTTTTAACAGAGTACAAACAGATTCGAGTAGAGAACCACCAATAGTTGTGGTGGAATGAATATGACTTATTCATCCTTAATCGAAGTTCTCGTGTTTGAGTCATTTTTTGATAAAACAAACTTGATAAAGCATCATAGAAATGACACCAAGTAGCAACTCTAAAGGGCTGTTATTTAGGAATTAGCCGGTACGTCATGAATTTTATTTTTTCAGTTCAAATTTAAAGGACAAAATATCTTGCGTTGTCCTGAAGTTAAGATTTTTAATTTTAAAATTTCAGGACAAAATAAGTACTGGTTAATCTC